AGAAGGGAGGGGGGGGGGGGGAGGTGGAGGAGAATATATCCTTGTGTGTGAGGAGTATAGTTTCTCCTCCGACCTATCAGATCGGAACTGATTGACGCTCGGGGATAGAGCCAAGTTAATTACGAAATCTACGGAACCACAGACGCGTTCTAAGCTGTCCGGTCTAAGCTGCCATTATAATTAATTAATTAGTCGTGTGAGATGACTTAACGGATCGCCGGAGATACGCTAGGAAATTCCATTTAGCCGGAATGCCAGCTGAATCATGAACAAGATGTGCTCGCGTATAGTCTTGGCACAAAACGAATAAATAATGGCGCTCTTAAAAAGATAATTATCGTGAGGAACGGTCTAAAAATTATTATATAGCCATTTAAGATGTCACATGTAATAATAATTAATAAAATGTAACTTATATACAACTACATAATAAATGTATATAAAGAATTAAGTCACTGAAAAATATTATACGACGCATTACGTATTTATATAGTAAAACACTTGCTATATTATTATGTCGTAGGAAATTGCATCTTAACTATGACACTTGCTTCGCCATAAATAACTATAAAAGTTTACTGCTACTAAAAAGGAAACAGAACGAAAATCGGCCATAATTAATAAACGAGGATCGAGAAGATTACGGTGGATGATTATTGAGACGATCGAGATTTACAGCTTTGGGGTACTTTTATTAACCGAAAGCCTAGACTATAATAAAGAATGCTATGTGTATACATATCTTCTATCTATATACAATAAACCGATTTCTCACGAGATATTCGATACACAGTTAACATTTGGCAACTTGGAATCAATTACTTTGTTTACTCTTCTTCTGTTTTTTTTTCGTTTGGCAGGAATCACACTTAGTCTTTCACGATTCGAGAACTTTGAACATGCTCGTCGCTCACAGATCCGCCTCGCAACGTGATATTATCAAAACCAAGGAGGCTAGATTGCGTGCTCGCGAGATCTCTCCCATCGCGATGCTTTAAGAACGACGACAAGATGAAGCCCTTCTCGCGCGGATCGCTTCCCCTTAATTGCGTTAGTGCTGATCGTTAGAACTATCGATACGAATAAGTGTAATATTGCTTGCGCAGCACTATAAAGATGAATTTTATGGATACACACCAGCACGGACATCGTTAAGTGGCGATGCTTTACGTTATTTACAAAAATGTCGTGTTTCTAGATCTGTATGTGTGTATGTGTGTGTGCATGTTGCACGCGAGGATGCGTGTGTGTCTCTGTGTGTATGTGTCACACACGTATGATACATAGACGAGTTTCCGGAATTATAAAAAAAAATTTCGAACGGCTTAAAAAATCAGTCTTCGTACGAGAGATTGGAAAAGTTTCGCAGAGAGGGTCGATACGTCGTTGCTCGATTTTCGTAAAGCGGCGGGTGCGTCCGTCAGCCGCGTTAACGGGCGGTTTCCGCGATGCGTTGTAAAAAACACGTAACGAAAAGATGCCCGCGAGAGGTTCACCTCCTCCGGCATAAAAGTCACCTGTCGAAAAGTACTAATTCGCCGTCGCTCCCGTTTGACTCGGTCACAGGAAGTTCTTGGATTTTCGCGCGCGTGTGTGTGTATGTGCACGCGTTAGAACGCGTCCCAGTCTTTTGGCACGAGCTTTAAACGCTAAACGACATGCCTAAGCCGTGCACCGGCGCTTCTCGCCGATGCGCGATAATAAGATTAAGTCGCCCGGGGATGTTCCCGGTGTCCCGGAAGTCGCGCGCGCGTTTACGGCGTCGCGGTTCACGAGAAAAGTTTACGGCACGTTTCTCCCTTTCCTCCCTTCTACTTTTCTTTCCTCCTATTTTGGCACTTCGCGCTACATCGCGTCCCCCCTGTCGTAAGCAAAACGAGCACGATTCGCGAGAGGAGCGTCGTGACACGTCGTGATCGCATCGGGCGGCGTGTTCGTACAAAAAATTGTCTACGTCGAAACGCTACTACTGATTGAAAGGTAGGGTCTCAGGCCGGTTGTCGGCGCGCTTTCGTTTTGATCGTTCGATGCGCGAATCTCACAGCGTCCGTCTCATGGGCGATCGCGAAGATAAAGGAGAAGTCGCGTTGATCGGCGCGCGCGGGATTCCACCAGTAATAACCGACGTCTGCTCGGCCATCTCGTCCGATTTCATCCGATTTCGTTACTCGAAAGGCGTGCCAAGAGCCGCGCGATACCGCGCACACGGCTGTCCCCCTCGGGACGATTTCAACCGCACCAGAACGTCGTTTCTCCTCGGAGTTCGGAGCCGCGCAATTATTAGCTGTAGATACTGGTGCAGGTCGACACGGTTTTCATCTCGATGTCATGTTGGATGGTCTCTTTACGAGACTCCTTCACCTTCTGCTACGAACCGAGCGGCGCGGAGCCGATGTTACTGATGAAACTCGGACAAGCGTTCTCCGCCCTGTCGCCGCTCTGTAACGAGAAGTGCCGATAGGACATGTACTCCGGCGGATTCGTCGACAATGGCTGATCCCGCTTAATCGTCGCGCGCTGCTTCTTCATTTTCATGTAGCCGAGGACGGAGATCAGCACCACGAACACGACGAAGCCCATGCAGCTACCCACGATGAGACCGAGCCGTCTCGTGAGGATACTCGCGATACCGCCTCTGTCGCTCACCGTGCCGTCGCCTACTATAGAATCGGGCGCGTCCAAAGTTCTGACCTCCGTGCATCGGCTGGTAGGTGAGTTCACCATCACCGGCAGCGAGGATCCCTCGATCACGTCGTCGTGCGACGCGTTCCACTGCCAGGAACCGATGTCCTCCGGGATCGGCGTGCCCCAGCTGCCCAGGCCGAGTACGCAGATCAGGTAGCGCGTGTCAGACGCCAACTTCGTCAATCTGACCGAACGTGCCTTCGGGTCCAACAGCTTGCCTCGTACCTGAAACGACGATAGAAAAGCTATGCCGTCAACGTGCGCGGACTCTTGTCTCGTGTCCGCGCGTCGGTCTCGGGTGAATAAGAAACGCACGTCGAAGAAGTCGCGGTGAGAATAAAATATCCGCTTCCGTCGACTTTCGCGGGCATTTTTATCGTGTAGGTTCTAATATTGCGATACATGCATGATAGTAATAAATATTTATTAGCTGTTAATAATTAAAATTTAATTATTTATAAACTTATTAATTATGTAATTTAAGTTGTTAAAGAGCCATTAATATATAATTAAAATATTTTTATTTTTTAAGTAACAAACAGAAAAAGCTATCTAAAAATTATGTAACTTAATCAAATACAACGTATCCCGTGAGATTTAATAAATTGAATTTAATAAATTATACACGCGCGCACGTATTTCTCAAAATCTTGAATTGTTGAGCAGTATAGTTTGGTATCACGCAACGTGAGTTTCGATTTTCGACAAAAGTACAACGAAAATAAAGCGTCCTACCTCGTCGACATTGTCCAAAGCGTGATACGCCACTTGGTAGCCGTGGAGGCCGGAATGGTTTCTGCTCTGCCACGATACCAGAACGGAGAAGGGCTGAATGTCCTGAATTGCGAGTTTCAGGACCAGCGGAGCGGAACAAAAGGCGTGGGGGTCAAGATCGAGGAAGACGAGGCCTCGGAGCTCGGGCGGCTGCTCGCATCTCAACAAACCGCCCTCGACGTCACCGACTCCGACACCATTTCTTCCGCGGCTACGACCACCGCCGACCCCGCTCACCAATTTCTGATGATCTCTCAGCCATTCCCACAACTCTTGCGACTCGCAGCCACAATGTAAAGGGTTCTCTGTCAATAAGACCGGCACGGGGCACTCGTTATTGTCGTATGCGACATTGTATTCGCTGAGAGATCGACCTAACAAGTAATCTCGAAACCATTCGACACCGAGAAGTAGCCAGCCAATTATTCATACCTACGCAACGAGTTTTTCATAGTAAAAGCGCACGTAAACATAAAAATATGTTAAATATTTTGCAGTACATAATTGATTGTACTGTATGCGTATGCAAAAATACATATATTCGAATCGAATCGAGAATTTACTATTAGTTAACCTCAAAATTATATAGTTTCAGTCATTATAGTACATGAGTCAGTTTTTATATATATTTTTATATACCACCGCCATTCTTTACCCGCGGAGAAATTATTCATGTACCAACCGCTTATGATTCACGATCAAAAATTTCATCAAACGTAGATGCGAGTCTCATATTCTCTCGTTGATTGATTAAAATTAATTACAAATGTATCAACAATAATTAAAATTTATAACCTCGGTTCCAATTTCCATAAAATATGTATATGCAATTTATAAATAAATGAGTTATAACGGCACAGCATTTTATCATCATGCACAACGGTACGTCACATACCCCAAGCTATATATGTAAATTAAAAAAAGAAGATAGAGAATGGAAAGAGAGAGAGAACGGGGCATACATTCCGCGCTATGTATTTCGAGCGAGTTTTCGAAAAGCAGTAAGAGACCGTGGGCGAGTATAGGATTAGTTCGTAGGATCCGCACTGCAGAAAATGAGATGGAGTTACGCGGATTTGTTTGATTGTTCCGGTGTTGAATATTGATTCGAGACGACTGTGTACGTGACCAGCGATACGATTGATTTTCAAGGAGTGGTAACTCCATCATTCGGATCGATAGCCGACCGCGTGTATACGAGAAAATTCTCGCCGCCGTCTTCGCGGACTCGCGTGCAAATATTCAACGGCGACGGCGACGGCCGAGCGTTCTCGGCAAGAGAATCGGCGAAAACACAACGGGTCTTGCAATCGTGCCGTGCGCGCGAAACGAATTACAAATACCGGGCGTGTCTGAAGAGAGTCGGCTCACCTTCAGCCCGCAGACTCCTTATTTGCGTCTCGAGTGGCCGGAAAGCGTTCAACGGCAGATTCTCCAAGTAATTCCTACTCAGGTCGAGTAGACGTAGCTTCTTCAGAGGTCTGAACGCCTCGCTGGAGATGGCGTTTATCCAGTTACCGTAAAGATGCAGCTCGACCAGGCTAATTAAATTCTTGAACGTCACTTTGCCGACGATGCCGATCTGATTGTACGACAGGTCCAGTATCTGCAGGGACTTGAGATCCTCCGGGAACTCCTCCAGCTCTTTTAGACGGTTATGCGTCAAATTGAGTATGCGTAAGTGCTCCATGCCCTGCAATCTCTCCTTCGGCAGGATCTCCAGGCTGTTCATGCCTAGGTGAAGAGTGAGCAGATTCGGTAGACTGTGAAACGCGCCCGGCGACACTCGTAGGATGCAATTCTGACCGAGATAGAGATGCAACAACGCCGGGAAGGCCTCGAAGTCCTGCGAGGTCACTATACTAAGGTTAGTGCCGGATATGTGCACTTCCTGAAGAATGGGATACATCGCCTCCGACGGCAGATCGTGGATCCTGTTTAGTGGGTTGCGCGTGAGATTCAACCAAGTGAGACTGGGCAAATTCTGACCCGAGAGAGCCACCGCGGGTATCTGTCGGAATTTATTCTCCGACAGGTCGACCCTGCGTAATAAGGACGAATGCGCGAAGAAATTCGCCGGCAGTGCGGTCAGATAATTGTGACTGAGATCCACCGACACCAGTCGCGACAAATTGGCCATCGCGAAGCCGGACATCGTCTCGATCTTGTTGTGGCTCAGATCCAGCTCTCGCAGATGCTTCAAGCTGGCGAAACTCGCCACGTCGACGTTGAGGATCTCGTTGGTGGACAACGTGAGGATCTCGAGATTGAGCGCGTTCGAGAGCGCCGAGTACGGGATGGCCTGGAAACGATTGCGATCCAGCCGGATCTCCCGCAGCGAGAGCAGCCGATCGAAGATGCCCGGCGGTAGGGTGCGCAGCTGATTCTGATTCAGGTGCAGACGCGCCAGATTGCGGTTCAGTACGAAAATCGTCTCCGGCAGCTGGCTGATCTGCGAGTCGTCAAGAAACAGCTCCTGCAACGACGGCAGTCCGTTGAAACTGTGCTCCGTGATCTGACTGAAATTGTTGCCGGACGCGGCGAGCGTCCGCAGACCGGACACGTGCAGACGCAGCAGTGCCGAGGCCGTGAGCAAATTTTCGTCCAGATTGAGATCGAACAGGTTGTTGAGGCCGCGAAACACTCCGTTCTCGATCGTAGTGATCGAGCAGTTCTTGAGGTTGAGTGTCGTGATCGGCAGGTCCTCCTGGAAGATCGCATCCTGCAGGATCGTGAGATAATTGTTCGCCAAATCCAACACTTTGAGTTTCTTGAGAGCCGTGAGCGCGTAAGGATCCAGCCGCCTGAGACCGTTATCTTGCAAGTAGAGCTCCTCCAGCTCGTGCAGTTCCGAGAACGTTCTCGCTGTTACGTGACTCAGCCTGTTCATGCTGAGCTCGAGGAACTTCAAAGCCTGCATAGGCTGAAAGGCGGCGTCCTCAATCCTGGAGATGGAATTGTTCGTCAGATAAAGGCGCTCCACCAAAAGAAGATCCCGGAAGAGGGGCGCCTGCAAGTGCGTCAGCTTGTTATGGCCGAGCCACATGATGCGCACGGACGCTTGACCACGCAGAGAGTCATTGTGCAGCACGGCCAGGCCATTGCTGTCCAACTGAATGGACACCAAAGAGCTTCCGCCGGATGACGACTCCGTGGCGGACAGCTGAAAGACGTCGCCGAGCATGGTCAGCTGATTGCCCTGGAGATTAACGTGCTGAAGACTATTGAGCGTCCGCAACGCACCCGTTTCCATGGAGGTGATGGCGTTGTTCTGTAAATGGAGCTCAAGAAGCGCCGGCAGCGGTGTGAAAACGCCGCGCTTCACCTCCATTATGTGATTATCCTGTAGTCGTAGCTCCCGTAGCTGGTGCAGTTTGAGGAAGGTGCCCGGCTGTAACTCGCGGATCTTGTTACCGTCCAGGGAGAGCGACGAGAGGTTCTCGCAGTGCTCGAGGAATTCCCGCGGCACTCTCTCGATGTAGTTGTTACTTAGATGCAATTGGGCCAGCTGCGTGAGACTCGTGAGACCCTTCGCGTCGATTCTTCGGATGGCGTTCTGCTGGAGATACACCACCGCGAGGCTCACGCTGCCGGCGAACGCGTCCCCGGGGATCTCCAGAATATTGTTTTCCGCCAAATAAAGCTCCCGCAGCTCGGGCAGCCGTGCGAACACGCCGCCGATGTAGTGAATGTGGTTATGACTGAGTTCGATCGTACGTAGCCGCTCGTTTCCCTTGAACGTCGCAACGTCGAGGAACACTATTTTGTTGTGGCTCAGATCGATCGACTCGAGGTCCTTCAGCGACACGAACGCGTCCTTGTGAATGCTCTCGATGGAGTTGTAGTAAAGAGATAGAGTGTGAAGGATGGGACAGGGTCTGAAGCAATCCTCGGCGAGCTTCTCGAAATTGTTGCTGCTCAAATCGAGAAACAGCAACGAGCTGAGCAGGCTGTAGCCGTCGTCGGGCAGTTCCGAGATCTCGTTCCACGCGAGCCTGAGCGAGGCTAGACTCTCCAGCCTTCTCAGGGGAGCCATCGGGAAGAGCTTCAGTTTGTTTTCAGCCAGATCTAAATCGCTCAGACTATCCTCGAGGCCCGCGAACGCGTACTCGGAGATCTTCGATATTTGGTTTCCCTTCAGCGTCAATTTCATTAGCTTCAAACCGTAGAAGCAGTAGGACGAGAGATCCTGTATCAGGTTCGTCTCGAGATCCAACGCGGCTAGTTTTCGCAGCTCGGCTAATGATTTTTGAGGCACGTGGGGTAAACGACTGGAAACCAGTGCCAAGGACTCCAGGCTGTCCTTCAAGTTCGTGAAAGCGCTCTCGCTCACCTCCCGCAAAGACGAATGGGATATCTGAAGGTGCCTAATTTGCGAGCCGGGCGGGAAAGCGACTTCCTTCAGCTCTTCGATGCTTTTGTCCAACTCGTAAGCGCTCAACGACTGTACCATCGTACCTGTGCCTGTGGAAATGATCATAAAGCACGAACGCCCGTTAATTCTCTCGAGTCATGATAAGGCAAACTTCCAATTTGGCAGCATCGGCAGCTGGCTGCACGTTTCATTAGTTTTATGGAGTGCATCGGAGATAATGGTCCTCCCACTAGCCGCGTTATTCGCTCCATGTTCATATTACGCGGGAGGATCGCTATGAGAAAACGTGCGATTCTTACTTTTCTTACATGTGAGCAATTCTTTCAAAGGCGTGACGGTTGAATTTAACTCGCGATCGATAGCGGCAACGCCGTTCGAGATAGGTACCAGTTAAGTACTCGCAACTGTGCTTATGAGTAAAATCGAAGCAATTCCATAGTTACCGCGATACGCGTCATTAGTGACAAATTGTCTTTTTGAATCTCGTATATTACTTCCAATTCGTAAACTTTTGCACCAATACAGCTTACGCGCTTGAAAACGCAGACGACTGTGAGCACACTTGTAATCGGATGAGGAACATCGTACGTGAATTCTTGGCACGTGTCTGTTCGTCGTTAATATAAATTGGTCTAACCGACGTAGTCTCGTGGTAAATGAAACACGGCGTGGTTCAGGACATGCGGTTTAGGAATGCAGTTTGCAAGTGCAGATGTGCAATTGCAATTATGTAGAAGGGCGAGTAGTACGCGTTCATGTTGACTGTTCCTCCCAAAATCAATTACTGGAACGGTGCACTAAATGATTGATATGTCTCTCATTCGACAAAAATTCTTCTAAAACATCTAAAACAGCTTTTGACCTTAACTGAAAAGTATTTTGCTTTTGATTGCGCCAGAGTTATCTTTCGTCGTTCATCCAGTACGTGTTCGTGTGATGGTTCGCTCTAAAATCGATTACTAGAACGATGCAGAAGATTTTTTCTTTCAAACAAGACAAGATTCTTTTAAAACGTCTAAAATAGCTTGTAAGACTTAACCGGAAATTATTTCGCTTTTAATTGGACCAAAGAGAGAGAAAGTCATTAATCGAGACTCGCTTACCGCTCGTACTTAGCACGCCTTGCAGTGTGGTTCTCAGAGTTTCTTCCGTAGCGCCAGCGCATTCCAGAAAGAGACCGTCTTCAAAGTAGTAGCAAGGACAGCCTGGAATTACTTCCGTCGGCGGACATTCGGCTATTTGAGCAACAGTTTTAAAGGTAACGAAATTTTGAATTAACAGGATCTGGAGGACCACCCTCGAGATTCGCTGCTTCACAGCGCGAGGATGGTCTCTCCGTCGTTGCGAATTTCGCATCATCGTATCGTCACATTCGTAGTCCCGTTCGCCGCCTGACAGTTCGCAAGGAGCTCTCTGAAACAGAGAAATTACACGAACAATTAAAATCACGTGAGCTTACATGCGTCGAATGCGATAAATGCACAGTTTTTTTCACTCGAAGAAACAACTACGTTGTGTCGCCGAGATTATTCTTTGTTTATTTTGTAATTCCCCGCATATTATGAAGCTCGATCCATAAAAGCTACACTATCTCCTATGCTCGCATAAAATAAATAAACTAAAGCACTGTTGCTTTTGTTACAATTTTTCTAAAGTCGCTGACAAACATTTACCGCTGCTCTTACTGTGAGAGATTCTTGTCTGAATAAATTCACGGGGGCAAAGTTAAACTTTGCCTGCCAGGCGCTATACTGCGCATGTTGGAGCATGTTTACGAAAAAGTACAGCCAAGCTCCCAGAATAGTGCGAATAGCTTCCTTGAATAACAAAGAGCGCACGTCTCACTAAGACGAAGGTGCATACGAATACACAGGGACAAAAATTATCTGTCCCGCTGGAAGAAAAAAGGAATAAGAAAAATTGTATTTCCTTTGCAGTTTCTTGTGATGTCCACTCTTTCTCAATAGTGGCAGGAAGTCTTTCTTCTGCATTCAAAGAAAAATGCAAGATAATGACAAGTAGGTGACATTATACATAGAATTTTATACATAGAATTATGTGAAATTATGTAAAATATAAATAATTTATGTGAAATACAAATAATACAATTAATTTATGTAGAATTGATATATTTTTGTACATAGTTTAGTAAACTATTGTATTTTGTAGTTATATGTAGCAACTAAAGTCGAATGGTTACAAGAAACAGTTAGTTCATTCGATTTCAGTTACGATAACTCTACAAAATAGTTTATTAAATTGTATTAACTCTACGTACAAAAATCGTATAGCTGTCACCTATACAGTTACTATCATCATGTCTTTTTCTTCGAATGTTAAGATAACTTTTGAATAATTCCTGTACACGTGATGAAATCATAATCATGAAGGCGCATCAAAGCAATTCCGACTGAGTTCAGTGAGCAGTAACTGGGATGATAATTGTTTTTCCGAATATGACTAACTTTACGTGGTGTAAGTTTAGCGTCTTACTTACGAAACTAACTGTCGAGGGAATACTATTCCAGATAGATACCCGCGGCGATAGCGGGTTGTCAACAATACTAACGAGTTCTTGTCTGCATGACGTCCAGTTGGAATATGCTGGAAATACACGATAGCGGCAGTTCGCGAACTGTGCCGTCTGCGAATAGCGCTTCGTGTGCATCCACATTTTTCACATTCAGTGAATATTAATCGAGACTCCTCGTTCGACAGCGGATGCGAGATAATATTTAAGGGAAAATATTTCTCCGCGAGGTATTCTTTGTGCGTCACATCGACGGATCTGTATTTTCCGAGGGAGTTTCGCGCTCTCTTTCAACGTAGCTCGGCTGAAAATTTATGAAAGTCATACAGCTGCGCACTCATCGTAAGGGTATTACAACAAGCTCCCTAATAAAGCGGATTTCAGGCACGATAGGCGCATCTCGCGCAGGGAGAACGGACAACCGTGAAGCTTTTCGCGCGTAATCGAGCGGCGCCAATGACCGGTTCGGAAATCTGTATCACAAAGGCGGTGTCTAGACCGAATCGATTTTTCACGAGCACCAGGCCGCGATATCGCGCCATTCACGCCCAACTGATTCCACGAATGCCTCTTCTTTCTGACCCCGCGCCGGAGGATCGCGGCATGAAAAGCTTCAATGGCGGCATACCATTCTCGTCTACACCCACATTTGCACTTTCGTGGAGCGCCGACGAGCACCACCTTTACGAGCGGGCGGTAAAACACACAGCGACGTTTCACGAGACGTGCGTGCCAAAGGCTTTAAACTCGAATTCAGCGCGAGAGGCGCAGAGATGTCTTCCTCGTAGGAGAGAGTGCTTGGGAGAAAAAGATAGAGAGAGAGAAAGAGAGAGAGGGGGAGACTTCTAAAAAATTCTCTTGCAAAATCCGATTAGCGTGCTCTCCAAAGAGCTAGATGTGCAAATTGTAGACCGAGCTTGTGCCACGCGAGAGACATCCTAAATCCGCTGGAAATATTTCAGCGCCGAATTCTTTGACGTGTTCGGAATCGTCGCGTCTGTCGGGAACGCTGAGTTTTCGACGCGCGTGGAGTACTTGCCAGCGAGTAAGCCTCGAATAAAATTTACATAAGCGTGGAGGAGGCAGCAATTCCGTTAACGCACACACGCACGGATAGCCGCGTATTACGTATCTATGCGCGGAGGCATCGTGACAGCAAGGTAAATGAGTATCCGGCTAGACTTGGAGGGTAATCGTATCGGGGATCTTCTCTTTCTCGCTCTTCATCTCTCTTTGTCTCTCTTCCTCTGCCTGTTTACTATGGGGCGAAGGAGCGCGAACGTACCTCCGATTATTTCGGAGCGAGAGCGATTAAGGGCGGATTCGCTCGGAATTCAAGAAACGTTTTCAATTTAAACATTAATCTTCGTAGAACGCCGCTTCAGCATTATATCGGAATCCCGAAGCTATCGCTCCTTTAAGTATTTCGATCGAGTGACTGGGCAAACTACGGCACGACCCGGTTATACCCCGTGCCTTTCTATTTCCACTACTCGCCCTACCGATCCAGGGGAATATGTTGTTCCTGGGACATACGCTGCATTCCTAGCACGATTGCTCCATAAATGCCCCGCGCTTTAGGAATCCGGCGTGCGACGCGCCATTAGTAAACTAAGATATCGCGGTTACGCGAGGCTTCTCGATTCGGGTTATTGACAGTCACTTGGCGTTGATAGAATCAAGTCACCGGCGATAAATGGATTAGCGGACGATCAATTTTAGTGTCGACGCAACGACGACGAGCGAGAACGCGCTCACAACGTGACGGCATTTATGGAGATGAATATTTCGACTCCTTGACTGTTATAGAGAGTTTGCAAAGTTCAATACAACTAATGTAAAAGTTTGCTTGTTGTTTATTTCACGAAATCTGCTTCTACTTTCGACTTCGATTTCTTAACGTTCACGTAGGCAAAACACACAATTTGAGGTTGGATTAAACAATTTCCTGGTGAAATATGAAGGAACCAGAAATTTCTATAATAATTCTGTTTTTAATTAATTTATTATTATTCTGTTTTTAATATTTCTATAATTAAATTCTGTTCAAGTTAACAAGATTTCTGATTAACTTGGACAGAATTCATATATAGTTTTCATATTTCACCAATGTTGGACATTAATCAATTACAATTTTCTTTGAATAATAAAATAATCGGCAAATCAGTCAATAATCGAAACAAATCAATCGTTGTATATGTAAGCGCAAATAATTTAATTCATTGCGAAAATTTACTATTAACCAGTGTATATTCATCAAATTATGCTTTAATTAATAATTAATTTCATCGATCGATGAAGCTATTCGTGATTTCATACATGACGGTTGATTAATTTCAATGACTGATTTGTCGATTATTTCAGTCAATTAACATTTTAGTCGATCAACGCTGTATTTCACCAGATATTTGGTTAATTCAACCAAACGTTTTTTCCACGCCGATTTTAGAAGAATTATATAGAATCTATATAGAAATATAGATAGCTCCTACTTTGTGTCTTAAATAAGTAATGCGCAGATAATATTTTACGGAGATAAAGAAAGGATAAAGCGAGTATCCCTCATCTGTTTGGATGAACTTTAAATATATATCGCGTAAAGTAGATAAAAATAAGAGGAGACACGCGGCGTGTGAAAATTAGTCTATTAGACGGTTAATTTATCTAAGAATTACGCTTTTGTTGACTGGCAAATTTAAAGCTGCAGTACAAGATAATTGCAGTAAAGGAAGATCTCGTTTAATCGGACTGGAGATTCGCGCGCGCGGCACATTTTTTTTCCGAGCCAGCACGACAGAGGATTGTAACTCGCAAAGAGAAGGAGGTAGCAGTTGAGAATTCAGTAGAAAATGCGCTTTACGAGACATACATCGTTTCGATCCAAGAGTGTACGGTTATACGTACTCCTTGAGAGCGTACTCAGCGCTTCATGCAACACCAGCGGTAATAAAGCGAGAAAACGTTTCGCCGTTCCGCGGCGCTGTTTTAACGCGATGAAAACAGTCAGTGCACTTCCGCACGAGGAAAAACGAATGTGTCTCTTTCAACGCGTCCATTTTCTCGTCTGAACCTCTTGCCCCGGCCCCAAAGAAATTTCAGCAATGGAATTAAAAGATTTACGTGCACCAAAAACGTTCTCGGCTCTTTGTTGAATTATTTGTTGCTACTCGACGAGGCCGATGTTATGTTCGCACGGTATATAATATATCGATATCAAGTGCCAAATGATATGTAGAGATGTTGCGAAGTAAAATATAAAAATCTACGATAACGAGACACACGCCGATCCATGTGTTTCTCTTCCATGTGTATATATAATGTTTAAATATATAAATATTGGATTGGCGCAGAAAGTTTGTCAGATTTATTAAATAAAACAGAAAATTGAATTATCCAATTTCGAAGTATTAACAACTTTTATGAAAAAAAAATAAATAAATAAATAACATCGATTTTTCAGGTATCTAACGAAGTCTCTTGTTTTATTTCCCTTTAATATCCAAATCGTAACATTCTACGAGACTGAATTTAATGTAAAAAAACATAATTTTTCGCGTCATTTTGATGTATATATATATATACATATATATTTGATAAGTATTAAATATTTCGACTGGAGATTTAGCGGCGCATTATATTTATTGCGAAAAAATCATGATCAAAATATAGCATCCACTAAATTTACCGCAGAGATTTTTGCTAACAAACGAAGGATATCACGATGTAATTCAATTTTATTAGAGTTTGCTTTATTACTCCACGATATCTCCATGCCTCAATCCATCGTAGAAGGGCGAATTCGAGAGAATTCGATACTCTCGTGGCCGGATTTCGCGATTTACATTAAACTGATCTAGAAATAACAGCGTATTGTTAACGTAAC